AATAGCTTCTGCACACCTCCCTCCCTGTTGAACAGATTAAAAAGGAGTCCAGAGGGCCGTTTGGTGGCTGTTGACCACACTGACTGTAGACCTTATCAATTCACAAATGCACACATTTTGTATGTGTACATGTTAAAATGCACTGTAGTCATTGCTCCGCCAAACCGCAGCAACTGATTTCAATTATTTTATTTTATTTATTATTAGAATTTTAGATGATCAATCTGGAGTTGTTTTATACATTTTTTTTATTTATTCTTGATGCAGTTAAAATGGGTTCACACAACTGGTTGACAGTTAACAGTAAAATACATTTTTACCAATTTGAAAATTAAAGAAATGGTTCAGCATTTTGGGAAATATGCCTTCTCATTTTCTTTTCACGAGTTAGACAACAAGATTGACTTTCATATTTGAAGCTGGGTTAACAAGCACAAAAAACAGATGTTACTGCACTCTCACTGCAACACACAGCCAAGAAATGGTGCTGGTAGGTGGGGGGGGTATCTTTAGACATAGCCAGGGTAGCCGTTTCCCTCGGCTTGTAGTCTTTATGCAATGCTAACCAGCTGCTGGCTGTAACTTCACAATGACAGTACAGATCGTAGAAAGCATAGGCGTCGCTAGACCCTTTTCACTGGGGCACGTGCCCCTGTATCCATGTGCTGTGCTCCAATGAAATTGTGAAGACCCCTTGGCGTCGTTCTGGACCATAGACAGTATATTACTGGACGAAGCCACCCCGCTGATTTGAATGGAGAGCAGTGAAGCTAGTTTTGGACCAATAAAATACTACTACATGGTTACTTCCTGTTGGCACCAGTGTCTACTGCGCATGATCGCATAGCATAACCGTGGTTTAATTACGTAAAGCAACAGCAGAAACACGTAAAAGCGAGTGTTTACCGCACTGATGAGACGACAAGGAGGGACTATCCCTCTGGGCACAAGAAGAGTAAATAACTCAATGAGAGTGACTTTCGAGAACAGCAGTCAGGTGAACTTGTGTTCTCTCCTCTGAAAGTCTGATGTGAGCAGGTTCGTGCAGCTGCTCTGTCTGCACTGCTAACCCAGTTGGGCAGCGCAACTAGGTCTGTTTTTGTCTTGGTTTCTTGCCAGACAGCGACTCAACAATATTAGAGTGAAATACAACTATTTATTACGTTTGATAAACGCCGATGTGCAACGACGTTTAGACAGGAGATCGCGGAGCAACTGGGTCGCTGCGGACGGTCGTTCCCTTTGGCTGGATGCAGTCTGACGCTCCTGATTTTACGCATGGATCCATGATGATAAAGAAATGTAGAAATTAATGGCAATAAAGCATGCTGTCAATATTTTAGAGACCCTCCAAAATATCACAAAACATTAGTGGGACAAGTCCAGACAACACACGGATGTGATGGGACTGCTCATAGACCCACATCATTTTAAAACAAGACAGTGATTATCTGTCTCTCAGTGAAGGTTTAGTTACAACTCTGGACTAATGCAAGATGGAAAGCAATGGATTCACATTGACTATTAAAAAGTTGATTAGTGGGACAGACTGGGCAATATGGATGCACATCTCTCAGTAAATAATAAACATCACATTGTCATGTTATAGTATAAATAGTATTTTCCTCTTGAAAATGTATTAAAAGAAACCTGGGGGAGCCTGTTTGAATGGGCCTGAAGCTGCTGATAACATTGATATCTTGCAAGTATTGATATTTATAATTTACAGGGGCTATGCTGAAGTTTGTCAGTACAGTAGATGCTGGATCATAAGCCAGTATTAGCAAAGCTAATCCAAATCCAGTACTAGCACAGACCCAGTCCAGATGTCTTTAGCAGGTCACACCGACCCAGGTGAAATACGGGCAGTCTCAGTTAGGACTGGACAATAAAACAATAACAATAATTATCGCAATATAATTTTTTTCAATAACAATATAACAAATGCTCAACAAATATTCAGTAAATGTTTGATGTTATTCACTTGAATCATACATGAATAGGACTTTTCTTTCTTTTCTTAAGATGTTTATTTTGTTAAGGAAAAAAGCTTTTACTTCATTTTACTCATGCATATTTGTTGACCAAAATTTTATCGTAATTGTTTTGAATGTTCTACCTCAGTTTTCTGAAGTTATCCACTGCTTCAAGTGTTGATCATTAATTAACCTAACAATTAACAATTAACCTTCAGGTTTCTTCAACTTTCACTCAGGAGCAAAATTCATAATCGATATCGAAAGATATGAAACTTTTTGTCATGATAACATTTTTGACCATATCGTCCAGCCCCAGCCTCAGTCAGTATGAGCACAGCCAGAGGTCCACAGGCAGCATCTGATACAAGCAGCTCAGACCCTAATGGAGGCTTCAGTTAGTGTGCAGAGGTCCATTTAAAGCAGCAGTGGTACTTTCTAGAAGAGGTTTCCATTCAGGCTTATTACAGAGACAGGCTGTTTTAAAGGAGAGGTGAGAGCACTGCAGTGTCAGGTGTGACTGTACAGCAATGGCAGATTGCTTACATGGCTCACAAGTCAGGTAGAATATTTCTTAGGTGGTACCCTAGGTGTGTGCTTATTCTCTGGTCAAAGCCCTTTCTGACATGGCAGTGCCAATAATAATGGGCTAAGCAAGGGAAGCTGGTGAGGCACATACTAACACATTTCATACACTTCAATCAAAAATATATCAAAATCAAAAATTTACAGGGGGAATGAGGGGGTCTGTGCCCCAGTAGAGCTTCATGTCTAACAATGCCCCTGTGAGAGAGGTCTTCTCATCTAACCCTTGGCAGGAAAGTGTGTCGTATAGTATAATTCCCAAAATGGCAAACTATTCCTTTAAATATCTTTGCCATTAGACAATTTTTTTCCATTTATTTTCTATTCTTCTATTTTGGCTCATAAAATGTTGCCTGCCAGAACTCCAGAGTAATTGGTGTAATTAGATCTGAAGAGAACTTTTTCTTTGCATATTATACATGTGAAATGTTATACATAAGTAGGGTATAATTCTATGTCATTAGCTGTTGATTTTCTTCCTGGATGCCAGTTGGTGGTTATTGTTCAGGCGGTAAGTGGGTGGGCAAGGGAGGTGTTGGCTTTATCTTAGGCTGGTAATTTATGGCTCCAGCTGCTGTCTCCCCAGGTGGACATCTTGATTCGTCAGCAGTACATCTCATTAGAGGGAGAAAAACACATTTCTAAGGGGAACACATTCTGTCAGCGCTCATCGCTGATTGGACACCAGTCTCCCAGGGGGATAGATGTATAGATACAAATCAACCATCTTGTTAAAACAAGGCTACAATAAAAATCTCTTGACAGCAGCATTTCTTATGTATGATGCCACGCTGACAGTTTGAGAGAAAATAAAAAGGAAATGTAGTTAAGACAGCTGAGCTTAAAGAGGAACTCCACCATTTTACACACCAAAGTTTGATTACAGTCAAAAATAATGACATTTCAATAAAAATTACTAAAATCCAATATGTAGGTGTGTCCAGTGTAGTTAATATTGTTTTGTATTGATTTGGGATCACTGAGTCACATTACATGAAAGGTATTGGAAATAAAATAAATAATTTACACAGACATATTTCTGTAAAATAAAAGAAGCACTAAAATACAATATAAAGAGGTGGGTCCTTTTTATCTGGTGCAGTAATAATTAATGGTATTGATTACATTAAAGCTATTTAAAAAACTTCCATTATTCAAAAAATTTATGCAAATCAAACATTTCCAATCTAAACAAGTTTGCAAGTTCAATTTAGTTTAATCTTTTAGAGTGCTCGTGTGTCGACCTAACAACTTAAAACTCACTTTTCTGCGTCCGGAAACCGCACACACAAACTATGCTTCCCAGACTCTGTCTTTCTAAAAGATTGCTGGTTCAATTACAAGATAATAAATGATCAGTTAACTCTTGCTAACTGTTGTTTACAGGTCTTGGGGAGTAGTCTACTAAGTTACTCTGCTGTATAAAGCCTTTTGTGGCTCCAGAGGGAGCTGCGTGAAACCTGAACTGACAACAAGTTTCAAAATTAATGTTTTAAAAATCTGCCAGTGTGGAGTTATAAAGAAATTATCTTACCGAACCTCTGTAACCTGCTCTTTGCCTCTGCTTGAGGATAGCGGCTATGAGCTACATTAGCTGCTAGCTTACTAGCAGTACAAATACCTTGGCACAGTAATTGAGAGCACGTGATTTATTGTTTATTGTCTGTCTGATGTTTGTGTAGTGACTTGCTGGCTGTAGCCTACAACAAATTGCCCCTCAGGGATAATAAAGATACCTTTGACCCTTGACTTTGCTAAAAAAATATAGGCTTGTTGACTAGTATGAAAGTAAATTGCTAAAGTGCAAACTACAAGGTATCCTAGCATATGGTCAAGTCCTACTTTGACTATTTACCTAACTGACAGGCTATACTGTATCATTGAGTCCAGACAATTATAGTCTAATCAGAGCCATTAATAAATTGGTCGGGTCTACTCAGCAATAACAGATCAGACCAGTCCTCATTTGGTCAAGAATCAAGATGTACCTATCTTGGACCTGGACTTGAGTTGAACTATATACTGTATGCAGCTGGTGGACAGAGCCATGATCCAATAGCAAGGAAGTCAAATGCTCACATTTAGATAAAAAAGCAAACATCTGTTAACATCACGTAATGTGTCTTTTTTTATTTTGTGGGAGCATTTTTCTGTCAAAGGTAAAACAGCACAGATATGATGTGTTACTATTGATGTCTCCATTAACTTCAATAAAACAGGCAAAATGCAAATGCAGTTACTATGACATAATGACCCCCTTCCTTCCTTTATAGTTTTCTTGTTTTTCACAAGGAAGACGAATGAGCAGAATAAAATAGACAATATCTCTGGTTCTGCTGCATTAATTTTGATACTAGTTTAAAGGAAGTTACTGTTCCATCTTGCTTGCTTTATCTCATAGTAACCAAACAGAAGAAAAATCCATCTTTCATTCTGCCAAAGTTGTCAATATTTTATTAATCTTCAGTTAAGGCAATCCATTACAAAGCATTTCACAAACCACAGTATGACGACAATATCATGTCCAACACCTGGTTTGGAAATTATTCAGCATGCAAGTCAGAGACCAAGAGAGGTATGTAAACAACCTGGGATAAAACAGGAGTAGTGGCAAGAATAACCCATACAGTGTGTGTCTTATAGGAACAGGATGAATAGAAACCAGAGATGCAACATGCTAGAGGTGGCTGTTATCTCTAAATAACATCTGAAGAAACAAATGAAGCACACGGCTGATGCACTTATCTGGTGAAATGAAGATAAGACTACCAAATGTTCTGCCATTTTGGCACAAACATGCACATTGTCTAAAGTGTCTAAAGAGGCCAAGTTCAAAACTGAACACATTTTGGCACTGAATATTCTTTATATGGGGCTTATGTACATAATTAGGATTCAGCCTCAAAGAAAATTCAGAACGAAGGGATAATTAAAGCCATTTCCAGAGAGAAAATAAATAATTGTGTTGTTGGAAAGACATCTTTCTGACTGCAAAATATATCTCTTAATAATTTAATGTCTTACGATTGCATAAGTGTCATTACTGTGCTCATTTCATATTTATTGATTATTTGTTTACTACTAATGGTAGTAGTTTTTTTATTTCCCAGTGGAGGAAATCTCACAGAGGTAATAGGCCTCAGGGGAAAAAAAGAGAATAGCTTGTTATAATAATATAATCTTAGTAGAACAGCCAAAAGCCATTTAATCCTACTCTAACTGATACTAGTTTAGTATACATTAGTATTACATAAAATGTTTGAAACGTGAACACAACATACGGTCCCAACATCACTTAACATTTTCAGTTCTCCAGCTCTTCTAACATGTATTTGCAATCACACTCGTGGTACATGAGCTGCATGCTGATGCTGACTTAACATGCCTGCCATGCCAAATTATGTACTTTTCCTAATCCATTTTCTATGAATAATGATTACCTTGTGATTGTTTTTCAAAGGAAAATAATAAAATAATAACAAATCACTTGGAAAAGTAGAATTTAAAGGGTTTTCTTGTAAAGAAAACAAATCAGATATTTAAGTTAGTAATTCATATATGTTTCATAACAAATATGTTTAATGTATATTATTTCCTTTTGGCTTGACTGGCTTTCTGTAGAGGTATTCTGGTATTTATGTGTGTTATGTAACCAAACTTAATGGCCTCATTTCATTTCTGATGAATTTGGCAGTAGATTAAACACTGCTTTGTCTTCTGAGGGAGAAATGTCATCACTTATGAAAAAGAAATTAAAAAAAGATAAAGCCAAATATGGATCTGGGCCTGTGACAGAAGGAGTTCACTGCCTCTGGACAGAGTTTCTGCAGATTCATCAGACTCTACCTTCTCTCTGAGAGCACTAAAGCAGTGGGAGTCAAAGAACATCTAAAGAACGGCTAACAAAGATTGTAAAACAACTTGAATTACGTAAACACATTTGCTCAATAAAAGGAAACAAAATATAAGTATGGTGAGAAATCAGAGCTTCACATTGTCAGAGAACAACAGGACAAGTCTTTGTAAACATTAGCGCTCTGGTGTCATGCGATGAAACTCTCTAAGCACAAAGACTGATTAAAGCACAAACACAACAGATCAAAGATAAACTAATTTCTTAATGAAACCCATGAATGTTTACTTTTTCCTTGAGGCAACGTTAATAGCCACAGTTGAAGTGTAAACAAGTCTTGACTTTGAATATTGTACAACAAGGCTCAACGACACTGTTACCCTTCATTATTTCAAAGATCATTAGTGAAGAGCTGTAAGTATAAAAAGTACAGGACACTGGTTGAGAGAGTGTGCATCAGCCACTGCAGCTGTAATAGTCATAATCTTGCAACAGTTTTATGATCACCAACATTTTCTGTGTACGTCTTTAACATGAGACCTGCTGCTGCTGACGGGTACACCTGGGTAACTGAATTTGGATATGTTTCTATATAATAGGCACATTTGGAACGAGATATTGAGTGACTGAGAGATACTAATGAAAATAATGGGTATTATGAATCGATTAGGACTTAGGATGTGCACAACTGGGTCACAATGAATGTAACTTTTTTTTAAGTACACAGACACTTAAATGAAAATGCAGGGAGCAAATGTGAAAATTTCAACAACTGGCTAGAATGAAATCGTAAAACGTGAAATTGTATCTTAGGTATCCCAATGTTTTCTTATATAATAGGCTCAGTTCATTTGAAGGAGAGCAAAACGCAGTCAACACATTGCACACATAAAAAGTTGTTTTTGTTTTCTTGTAGTTTTCTTTAGATCATTAAAAACAAAGAAAATCCAAACCCAAATATCTCATACTCAGATTTGATCTCATAGATTTGTTAAGTTTTCAATCTGGGGAAAAGTGGGTATTAGTTGACGTCAGTCTTTCAAAAGTTTATTTGTAGGGTCCTTTAAAATTACCGAGCAAAATCCTTGACAAGTAACATCTAACCACAACAAGTATAATGGAAAAACATGGGGCAAGAATGTGCTTTTAATTATTCATCTATTTTTATGTAAACACGCAGTTTTTATGATAAATTTAAATTTAATATATAACTTTATTTATAACATTCTTCCTGTTGTCATCCTGTTTAAAATGATGGCGGATGTTAAGGCCATGTTGAAAACATATGTGGTGTCCTTTCCATTATTTTCATTGTGGTAGCTGTTCGTTCTTTCAAAACAATGGTTTTCAGCATAATATTATAACCTTTGTGCTTTTTATTTTGACAGTAATTAGTGCATTCTGTTAATATAAATATTAGAAATACGTATAAGACATGGTGCTGGAAAATCAGTATGGCAACAGCTCACAGCAGGTTCTCTACATAACAACTTGCAAAAATTATCCATCAGTCAAAATGATTCATAAACTGCTGAATAGACTTTATCACATGCTTTTTATATTACAGTCCTTATCAAAGTAGAAATTATAATTTTTTTATTACACTGGTCACAAAATATAAGATGGAAAACTACAGGAAAATATGACTTTAATCCCCATCCTTTAAAACCTACTCAAAGAAATAAATTATTTCTGCAATAAATAAATAAATAAATTAGTATACACATGATTTCCTAGTTTAATACACATTGATTCCAAAAGGTATCATAAACATGATACACACACATTCCATTATATTTATGCCTTCAAACAGGCTCTCTCTACAGGTTTACTTGCTATCCATTACATCACCACTTTGACAGGTCTGACAGCAAACAACTAAAACCTTCCTTTTACACCGGGCTCCTCTCAGCGCTCTCATCCTCAGGAACTCAGAGAGAAAAAAAAACTCCCTGATCATCAGCAGGTTCCCCCAAAGCAGTCTTATTGCTCCAGAACAAAATGGAGTCTCATCATCTTTTTGTTTAGCCAGATTAATATTTACGAAAGGGCCTCGAATGCGTTTCCATTTTCACAAAGGGCCGTTGTGGTTCCCATCAATCCTGCCCCTGCCCCACCACAACGTAGAACTGGGTGTGGGGTTCAGACGGGGTTGGTTTGGGGGTCGTTGCAGGGCGAGTAAGCCGGTGGGACGGGGTTAGGTTTAATTCCTCTGCTTTTCATGTAGGAGATCAGCTGGTCAGGGATCTCGGCCAATACGTCTTTAGCCAGCCGCGCCATACTCAGCACATGGTTGCCTGTGCGGTCCATGTAGTCTCTGAATGGGACAAACTGTTGTGACATGGGAAAGAAAACTATGACTTTATGAAAAGAATGTATCATGTATAAAACAAGTCTAACAGGCTAAAGCCCTTCGAGTAGCCCCATTACACCTGACAAAACAATTTACAGACGATGCTGCTATTTATATTTGACGTAAATGTCTTTTGATTTATAGTTCAGCATCGGAGTTCAACCACTGATAGCACCACCACAGCACCAAACGGATGTATCATACCTTATCAGGCCGCATAGTGAATTATATTCCCCACAGTGGCTGTTTTTACATTCTTTAATGTACTTTGTGGCATCGAGCAACTTGGGCTAAGCACATCCAGGTAACTTCTATTTGTCTTATTACTCATTGCTGACATGCACTTTGCTAAACGTTTGTTCCTGAAAACCAATTCAACTTGTAGGAGAAAACACAATCAGCAGAAGTGGACTGATCACAGTTCTTGAGGTTGCCAAGTGGAATATCTGTAGCCGCCGTAAACCTAATGTGTAGTGATGTTATTGAGGAGACTGTAGGGAAACATGCATAGGCTCCACAGCTACATCATGACCCCTTAACGCACAACCACAAATCAAGCTTTAGAGCATTACCAGCACTAAGGCGTCAACGATAAGCAAATGTTTAAGTTTCCCCAACGCTGGTGCTAGAGGAGAGGCCAGAAGGTCAATAAAATGGCAAGAGTTTTCCCTCTTTTGAGCATGAATGTGTTCAGCTACTTTTGCAAACACTTTACCAATTACATTTTTCCTGTTTTAAGAACATATGCAGTACATTTAATCGATCTGCAGCTGTTGAGATATCTTGCTTTGCAGTTTTGGGCATTAGCGTCGCTACAAGTAGCGCCGTTACTAGTTTGACTACATTTCTCAGTAGCTTGGTGGTAGCGTTGCTATTTTCTGAATCAAATAGCTTTTCATTAACGATGCTCTTTTATTGACCGATTAGCGCGGTAGCTTCCCCACACGCTACATTTTCTCAAGCATTTCTGAAGGATCAGTAAGTGACGCCACCGCCACACACGGACCTGTATGTGCAGCTGGCGGAAGCGCTTCCGCCGGCTGCACATACAGTGACACAGTGACATCACGTACCGATCCTTGGTCAGATGTCTGCGACTTTGCTGCAGGGGGATAAAGACACGCGCGATTGAGTTTACTTTCTATTGTGATAGTTATTGTAACACCTCTTGTGAGAAGGATCAGGGTCCAGCCTGGACAGCTCTTCCTCTAGTGAGAAGGAAACTTTGATATGTAGTGGCAGAAACTTGTTTCCATGAGATGAGATGAGAGATTTCTCTCTCTTTCTCTCTCTCTCAAATTGAAATTCAAATTAGCTTTATTGGCATGAATGTATAGCAACAATATTGCCAAAGCTACATATAAAGTACATAAGGATAATTAATTTCATACATTTCATTAGATAAGGAAATAAAACAGCAAAAGTTGTGTTTGTGTGTTAATACAAAATTAAATAATAACAGGAAAAAATATATAAAATATAAAGATTCTGTAAAAATAAATATTTAAAAAAGTAAATAAGTAAAACAATAAGCGTGTGTATGTTAGAAAATGAAAACAACATATTAAATTAAAATAAATAAATAAAACAATAAGCGCGTGTGTTAAAAGAATTAAAAAATAAATAAAATAAAATAAATAAAAATAAAATATATATTAAAAATGTAATATAGTAAATGACACAGTGACGTTTGTGTGTGTGTTATTATAATAATATATAAAAACATTTAAACAAAATAAATAGATAAAATCATAAACCTGTGTGTGTATGTTAATAGACAAAAAAAATCATTCTTAATTAGTTCATTTAAAAAATATTGAAGAAAGACAAAAAAAAATCTGTATCAAATGTGAGATTTAAAAACACAACAATTACTAAAATATCACACCATCAAAATAATAATAATTAGAAAATTAGTACAATTATTTATCAGTCTGAGTTTCCACTGGTTGTCCTCAGTTCATGGCATGATGAGATATATTTTGCAGCAATTATTTGACATTTGGGCATTTCTCCCAGTAAAAAGGGGATTTTCTGTGTCCATCCATACATCGTCAACCACTTATCCTGCGTACAGGGTCGCGGGGGGCTGGAGCCAATCCCAGCTGACATCGGGCGAAAGGCGGTGTACACCCTGGACAGGTCGCCGGGGATTTTCTGTGTGTCTGATATAAATTCGATTTGGGGGTATATTTGGGAAACGTTTGCAAAGTGTTTCTGTCTTAGTGTTTTATATTTAGGGCATGAGGTTAGAAAATGCAGCTCTGTCTCTACTTGTCCTGTGTCACACTGGCAGCAGAGTCTCTAGTGGTGGTCTTGTGGTAGCCAGCTCTGTCTGTGGTGACCCTTTTCTATGGCCAGGCTGTGTTCCCTCAGTCTGTATGTTGTCAGCATTTTTCTTAGTTTAGGACATTTTATTGTGCTCAGGTAATTTGCCAGTGTGAGTTCTCTTTTTATGGTCAGATAACATTGGAATTTACTTTGTGTTTTAGTCGTCTCTTTCCAGTATTAAATATATCTTTCTTTTTCCTTGTTGATAATTTGGTTTGGTCTGCTTGAGTTCATGTTGCTGTCCTGAAGCTGTCTCTCACACCAAAGGCATGTGTCTTATCCATTACGCCATCACCTCCCCATGTTTAGGTTGTTTAGGTTGCAATGTTGCCATAAATTCACATATAAACAATAAAACATATATAATTAATTAATAATGTGATAATTAAGTTACTTTATACAAACAACAATGGCTTTCCGTTTGTTGCACAAGGAAATACATTTAGTGTATTTCCTTGTGCAGTGAGTGTGTGTGTGTGAGTGTGTGTCTGTGTGTGTGTGTATATATATATATATATATATAGACCTAACTGTAAAATAATAAAAAAAATAAAGTACCATAGAGGTAACTAAACTACTTTTGCCATGTTGCTGTAGCTTAGCTTGCTACATTTCACTGGGGAGTAGCTTCTGTGTAGTGAAGCTTCATTTAATGTAGAGTAGCTAGTAGCTTAGCAACAAGCAAGTAGCTTGCCCAACACTGTTGCTTTGTAATAAAACCCTAATGGGCAAATTTAATGGCAAAAATTATACTTGTCAGTCACTTTGCCTTTGGAAAAAATTTGACGTGTCCTTTACATGACAAGCTGAGATTAGACAATACATTAGAAATGTCTCACCTGTACAATGTCTCTCTCTGCCAACTTCCCCCGCGAGGAAATCCTGATGTCGTCACCATCCAGCTCAACCATGGCTACAGAGAAAAGATGTTTTATCAAAAAAATAAGTCTCACATAAAGTACATTTTCATATCGTGAATTGATTCCAAATGTTATGGGGGCAAGCCCTGGTGCAAGCAGACCACAATCTGGTTTCCACATTTGTTCACCAAAGAACTTTAGTAACTGTTCTCACCATCAAACTCAGCTTGACCAACTCCAACAATGATGATAGACATGGGGAGTTTAGCAGCCTGTCATGAACAAGAAGAACAAACAGTCAGTTGTCACTCAGGTGTTGGAGGAGCACATACTGTATTTTCTGAAAAAAAGCTTGGCATCAGAGATGTTATCAGAGTACGGAGGAGTTACATTTCCAGTTATTTGTATTTTCCTTCCAATACACTTCTCATTCTGCAAAGTCAGTATTAATCTGCAAGCGCAGTTCTCCAGAGATGCCAGAGACAGGAACAATAATGAACATGATAAAATAAGCTAAACATAAATGATACATAGAATCATAACAGCTTCCTGCCTGCGTTTCACATCACATTATGTTGCATAGTTTGGGTTGTCAAGGGAATGAGAGAAAATACAAAATAGATTATTCAACTCAGGGGCTCCAAGGTTGTTACAACAGCTGGCATTTAACAGAATATTTTAGCTAACTAACAATGTGAGACACCAAAGTACGTAAGATTACACAATGTTCTTTATTTAATGCTCACAAAATAACAGCAGATTAAGAAAAACAGTAAAGAAAACGTGCTAACATGAATGAAGTCAAATGCTTTATTCATAAAACATTACTTAGAGTACTTCATCCTACACACTTACATTCAGTCCAACATTGTTTATTCATGATGTTTGCGTATAGAAATGTCTCAAATGCCATTAAAGTCAGAACATAAAAAGACGTGTCATGCCTATTAACGCCAGTCTAAACAGAACCCAAATAACAAAGATTTAATATGGCTTATCGTCCAAGATTTACACATGCAGAGGGTTCTCCTCAGCATGAACTTAAAACCGCAGCACCAATGTGGAGAATGTAAAAGCTCTGGCATGAATGAATGATATATGCTTCTGGTACAAATGCATTTACAGTGGTAGAAGTAGGTCAGCTTTCCTGGAAAAACCTCCCGAGGGGAGAGGCCTGTCACAGATAGGAGTAAATAGACGGAGGAGCACCACCCTCTCCATGTTCTATATCATTATTCTCCCTCCATTTCTTCCCCCATTTTATCTTTCCGTCCACCAGGCTCACTCTTCATGACCTCTTGCTCTCACGCAAAATACATACATTCTGTTTGCCACTTTCAAGCAGCAGAAGGTTCCGCAAACGTATACCTATAAATGCCAGATCAGCTTCTGTATCCACAGCTGAATTATTCAGCCTACACCATTTGTTACTTTGCCTGTGCTGTGAAGTCACTCAGGGGATCTCACTCCATCAGCCTGTGTGAGTAGATACTCACTGCAGAAGCGCCATAAATACACAGACTGATGGCAGATGCCTGTTCTCACAATTAACGTTTAATTGATTTTTAAGGACTATACCAACTTTTTTTGCCCCATTGGTCCATTACCCAAGAGGCAAGAAGATTAGCACTAAAATAATTTAAGCGTCTCTGGTAGATAGATCCAGCACAAATGCTAACACTTTAGCGTCAAGTTTATTCAGTCAAATCCACTGCACTGTAGAATCCCCACACCTCCCTCATTCACATTGTTAGAACAGGAGGAGGACGAGGGGGAAATAAATAAGTTATACCTCAACCACATCCAGCTGAAATCCAAATGTTCACCTCCTGCTATTATGTATGGCTTTGCAAGCAACCCACACACTGGTGCAATCTTATATGATATATATATTAGCTATTCGTACCAAATCACATTTGATTTGCTAAATTTATGTAGCAAAGCTAAGTTCAAGATGAGTCATCAGACATACTTTTATGAGAAAATGAGGGATGCTGATACAAAGAATACTCAAAACTAATTTTTAAAAACATATATTAAGCTTGTAAGAGATCATCAGTTAATCAATAGGTTTGTTCCAGCTATAGACTGAAGCAAACTGTTGATTGAAAGATTCAAACCCAGTACCAGCATGTGTTTCTATGTCTGCTCTATCTATCAAATGAAAAGATCCTACATGTCTCATGCATCAAGAGGTTGTAGTGACTGTCAATGGTGGTCAGTGGTGAGAACATTCAGGAAAAGAGAAGTTATAGCAGCTTTAAGACTAGGTAGTTAATATTAATAACATACACTTTGGTAAATTTGGTAAAACAAGAAAATCTGACAAAATAAGTACATTCAGTGGCAGAGTATCTCGTCTTGTGAACCCTTTTTAGTCAGCAAGCGTCCAAAGTTGGCTAGACAACTGAAACTTTTGCTCTAGTTATTTAGTTGACAAACTATGGTGAACTACGTGAAATGCAGTTCTTAAAGTGTCTCTAAATTTTAAAATATTCATGGCTTTTATGAAGTTACTGGTCGAGCCAGCCTCCTTTGCAGACAGCAAACGTACAACCTGAAACATAATCTAATACCTGGCCACAAATTGATTTATGTTTCGGCCTACCAGGTCAGAGAGAGACACTCTTTTAGAATTAAAAATCCTAAAATTAAATTTGGAGCTTAAAATAAAACAGGAAAGGAATGATGGAGCCACAAACTATCCTGCTAGATGTGTGTGCATATTGGTCACTGAAGGCTAAGCAGATTCATTACCATTTGGTCACCAACAGATATCTGCAATGTGCAATCTTTAAAGATACACCACAGGACCAAAGAGCACAAATAAGAAACCTAACCTAAAGTGCAGACATGAGCGTTGCACATAACTCTTTCATTATGAGTCATATCTTCAGGGCTAAAGGCCAAATGCCAAGTGAAGCAGGTAATTCAGTCCTTTGCGCTGTTGGCAGAGGAGAACGTTGCCACATCCAAACTGAGAGGCGAGAGGTGGAAGCACGACACAGCAGGGTTGGGTCGAGCAGTGCAGAGCAGCAGACAAGATCTTAAAAGGAAGGTGTGGCTGTTCGAATGGTTTGATTAACAGTCGCAAATTCCCTTTAAACCCAGTCTGCTGGGGGTCAGAGCACCGTGTTGCTGTGAGGGTCTGCCTGGTGCCTGATGACTCACTGTAGAAAGTGTATGACATGTTGTAGTCGAGTGTCCTACCATTGCAGCCATATTCCCACTATAATTGAGCTCCAGTATTTTCATAAGACACAAAAAAATATGCATCACGCAGCATAAGCATAAGAGAAACACAATCATACTTTGATTTAAGTAATCATAACGTGACTGAAAGGATACCTCAGATGGTATGCTGGATAAGACCCTTACCTCTAATAAAGTGAACCTGTTGACCTGAGAATGAATCTCAGCTGAGCCCCTCAGCATCCTGAGGGTCTCAATAAAAAGGAAAAATATTGGACAGACAAAGCACCCAAGTAGAGGGGGTGAGACAAGTGGAGCAGAAAACATCCTGTAAATCCTCAAATCTAGTGCCACTGGCTTATAAACCCCTCAAAGTAACAGAAAGTCTGAGGCACAGTAAGCTAAAAGCACCTGCAATGCCAGTGCCCTGCAGAGCCGAGGGGACGGGGGAGAGAGAGAGAGAGAGGGAGGGGTGAAAGTCTTCAGAGTAGAGTTAGAGCAGCACTTACATTCACTATAGCCTCCTTGGTCTGAGCCATGTCTGATATGACGCCATCAGTGATGATGAGCAGAACAAAGTACTGAGATCCGTCCTGTACTGCTGCTGCATAACTGAAACAGAGAAACCATCAGCACGGAGTCAGTAAAAGACAGTAAACCAGGCTATGTTCAAGTAAAGCAAAGTTGAAAAGCTCATGGGTTTACATAAAACACGGGGACTGGTTTGGTTTCTAAGAGCAGCAGCCACTGTGTCAGTTATAAAAATAAAAATAAATATTAAATATACATGTTCTCTAGAACCAAACTCCCCTTCTGCCCACAGTGGAGACACAAAAACCTAATATAGATATGTAAAAAAGTAAAATATGTTGTATAGCTCTTCATGTCTCAGAGGTCTAACCAGACACTATTACGAAACCCATCAGAGACACCACAGTGAGTGTGGCCTAGTTTCAATCGCCCATCGCTGGCTGCTCTATGAATAATTTATTAAACTGTTTATGCAAGTGCTGCAGTGTTATTCTTTCAGAGCATTATTGATTGCCTAGCTCTGCCTAAACAAACGTGTCAGATCACAGTGACAGCCAAGGACAGGTCAGAGGTCAGCCTTTACTTTTGCTTTCATTTTGGTAAATTTGACTGTGAGGCTCTGACATTTTCATCCAAGAGGCGACAAAGGCAAGAGCCATGATGGGGGTTATGGAGATCCACATCCACATCTGCCACACAGTGATGTGAGACACACACACTGGAGATAGTTGACCACAGTAGCGTAGAGTAATAACTGTAGCACCGAATACAATATTGTATTATAGTCTTCATTTTTAAGATTTAATTCCTACATAGTTCAGACTATAGAACTTGCACATTGAACATCATACTGCATGGTTCGTGAACTTTGTGGCCAACGCATTTTCATTTTGAAACGAAAAAAACTCGTTTCCCAATTACCATTAGTAAATAGGGAAAAGAAAAACGGGAAACAAACCGTTGTTCATTTTGATATAAAAAAACCGAAAACGAAAAAAAAATCTTGTTATACGATTTTCTTTGATGTGTGTGTGTAAATGGAAATCGGAAATTCAAATACGAGTGTATAAATCTTATTCCTTAATTTTGCATTGGTTTTTTTTTTTCTGTGACCCGGAAGCTATGGTAAGCAGCCAAGTAAGCAGTTGTGGGCCTATGGCACACACCCCGAAGTCAGGAGTTTGGAGTTGCATATCTAATGTTACGAAGATGGACTACAAAAAGTGCATCTTTGACCTGTGCATTCTTACCGTGTTGTTTTAATTCAGGCCAGTGCAAGGTGGAAACACAGTGGAATATAGCCTATTACTTAATTACAAGCGAGAAGGGGGGTGCTGCAGCACCCCTTATTGACAGGGAGGAACACTGCAAATGACATGTAGGCTACAGACTGCATAATGGGCACTATTGTTACTAAATGACAACATAAAATACAGCAGGTTAGTGCAGAATGATCTGGTTGATATTGCAGCCTACTAATTTGACGTCAGCAACTGTTTGCACTGCTTTGTCACAATTATAGGAGCTACATTGGTGTGATGCGTGGATTGGCTCTGACAATATCTGAATAACCATGTACGCATAAATCATCCACCCACGCTTAACCCAACTAATGATTTTCTCAGATTTATCCCACCTCTACCAGCCCTTATAACTTTCCAGGTGATTTCATTATTGTGTTGATGTATTAGTGTTGTTGTCTAACAGTTTACTTTCATGATTAGAGAGGCTGCTGTCAGTCATTTTAAACGTTTCCATGGGCACAATAATGTCACAGCAAATACCCTTGGACATTTATGCAGCAAAACTAAAAACTGTAGTTATTAACTTGACAGGACAGACAGAGGAAACTCTGCAGAGGAAACAGAATTCTACATCCAAAACAATTTAGAGGCACTAATGGAGCAATGGAGCTAATGGAGAAATTATGGTAGCTTAATAATCAGCTGCACCCTCATGCCGTTCATTTAACTGCACCGTGTATCAATGTTTTTTATTCAAATGATTTTATTTAGCCTATGGCAGAAAATTGTTTCTCCCAATTTAATATTTCTATTATTCCTTTTATTATTATACATACATACATAGCCTACATAATTACTTAGGTCCGGACCTCATAAGACCACTCTGTGTTGAAGGAAAGTGCGTGCACACATTCTGTCAAGCACGCATATAGGCTACAGCCCCCGAAGCCGCTCACTGCATACCATAGCTTCCGGGTCACCAAAAAAACCCAATGCAAAATTGAGGAATAAGTTTTATACACTCGCATTTGAATTTCCGATTTCCATCTATAAACACATCAAAGAAAATCGGATAACGAGATTTCCGTTTTTTAATATCAAAATGAAAAACGGTTTGTTTCCCGTTTTTCATTTCCCTATTTACTAATGGTAATTGGGAAACGAGACGTTTTTCGTTTTTGTTTTTTTTGTTTCAAAACAAAAATCCATTGGCCGGAAAGTACACAGACCCTGCATCAACACCTTTTATCCATTTAAGAACATTGTCTGCTTTTATTAATGACTCAGCTGTCTGCTTGTGCTGCATGTAAAACCTACAGCAAAATAAAACCTCAAATCCCTACTATGAAAAACAAATGCATGTTGTGTTCAACATCTAATGTTAAGATCTGTTTCAGGAGATGCAGAGTCGTTTCAATCTTTTCATCATTGGTTTACTGGATGACCTTTTTCACTTGTTCTAAATAGTTGAGAAACTCAAGGCCTGCAACATCTTTGTGAATAATTCTTGGTATTTGAGTTTTACTACACACTTAGTTATACTGCACCCTTTAGGCAATGAGAGACTGAGGAAATTGTAATGCTTTAAAATGCATCAAGTGTCCAATTGCTTTCAACCCAGACTATTCAAAGTCATAATGTGACATTTTCATTGGGCATGAAAGATTTTCATTTATTAATAATTTTTCTTCCTTGAAACAGGTCTGCTGGGGACTTCTTTATTATCGTTAAAAAAATGTTATTCTTGTGTGTCTGTGTGGGTCGTGAATGAATATTTCTACAGGGAAGGATATTTTCAATGGCCTTCTGTTTTTAGCTATATCAGACATGGTTTATAACATACTATTGGTAGTTTTAAGCACCTTTGTTTATTAATGTATTTGTCTAAGACTATAACTCCTCCTGTGGACATTCATAAGTGGAGGCTGGTGTCTAAACAGATAATGAATGACAATATAGTAAAACAGAAGTTGTGATTGTTTTATAAACACATCCTTATTTCTATAAAAATCCTTATATCTGCTTCCAACCACATTATAGTGTGTTATAAACCATGTATTAAATGGTTATATGCTGTTAAATTAAATTGTAAACCTCGTGAGGTAATCAGAAATACAGGTAAATGCTGAAAATCCCAATGTAATAAGTGTTCAAGTCCAAGTGTGAGTCACTGATATTCAAGTCCAAGCTAAGTCATGAGTCATTATTACTGGAACCTTAGTCCCAGCTTGACTATGAGAGTCCACTATTAAAACACAGGTTGGGGTGAGACACTGTACACCTGTGCCTTATTATAATCTTGAGAAGGCATTTTCAACAAATCACGTCTGCTGTATATTTAATGTGATGCCGCCCCATTTGTAGACAGTTCATATTTATTCCATTTACAATGAGAGGACGTTTGTAATTGTGAATTAAAGCATGTGGTGCCCTATTCAAAGTAAAGCTTATAAGCTTATATATTGAACATTGTGACTCATCAGCATGTGGCTGAAAGGCTACATGACCTGAATCAATTCAATCAAGTCCCCTGCCAGTCCTGCCACCTTACCTTAAAACTCTCAGCACGCTACACATCTAAAAAGCAATGTAGCACATGCACTCTAAAATAAAAAAGAATTTCTATTCATCTCCGCCTGACAGCTGATTGTTTATATTCTCTTTATTAGTTCTGCTCAATTCATAGAAAGACCATCACTCACTGTCCTCGTACCTCTGACGGCGTGTCTACCTTCTGAAGATTATTTACAGATTGACTTTCAAAGAAAGGATGATTTGTGCTTGTACCTTGCCACATGATTCACAACAGGAGCAAAGTTGGTGGGTCCATACAGCTGAACCGTCTTAAGGCTTTGATGGTAAGCTTCGAGAATCCCCTCCATGCCGTTACAGTATGGGTTGTCAATGTTGCCATTCTGAGAAAAACAAAACATGACAACAGAAACTACAACAAACTACAATGGTAGTCAGAATAGACTTGAACCACTGGTGTACAGCGAATACAAGCTGATGATGTAAAATTGGTCATTCACATTTTAGGAAAGTGGCTTGTTTACTGTCTCTCTGAAAGGAAAAAACACAAATATAGATGACTGCTAGATGAAAGGAATGATTTCATTTTGTTATCTAACCTACTATATATGGTAGTCATTTCCTAGTGGGTGAATAGTGACTGAGTGAATGAATGCCTCCATTATACAACAACTCAAAAAGGTCTTATTCACACATGTATCTTGTCCACAAACAAGTTAGTCAACAATTTGTCAAAAAATATATATTCTAAATGTGGTAAAGGCACAACAAATTATAAATACAACAGCTTTGAAGGCTAAACACACTTCTGGTTTTCTGTACAAGTTGAACAGAGATGAAAAAAATATCAATCTAACTAGTAGGGACTACATGGACGTTCCACACCCAGTGCAGCAGTGATGAAGCATCTGTGATCATGGCTGTGCAGGTTCATATCTTGCAACTCACAGAGGTCCATGCAGAAGTGCTTCTTCACAATAAAAGAGGTAGTGTGGAGTCTGTCTTTAAGGGCTGAATGACATTTTGAAAACATTCTTTGCTCCCAGAGATGTGCTCGTCAAACTTTTCTTCAAAGGTTAGCTTCCCTAGCTACAAGGCAAGTTTCTAACCAAACATATATATATAACAAACAATTCAGCCAGGACTGTAAGTTTACTTTTAAACCCAGTTACAGGACTAGAGCCTGAAAGAATGAGGCTTCAATTATATGGGGAGATGAATCTTAATTTGCAAATTTTAATGGAAACATGGAGTGATGCAGACGTTGCCCTGTACACAGACTCCTCATTAGGAATGTACTATGCAGCAGCCAGAGCACATTAGCTGGCTGAGAGAAGCCAAATTGATTTAAGAATCCTTCAGCTTTACTGAACCTAATTTGCACTATAAAAGGTAAATGGGATTCACTCTGAATTATGCATGTCAGAGGTGTAGCGGCATTCATCTCAAAATGCACACATCCATATTGCACATGAAAACATGCTTATCCATACATGTTGGAGAGATCATAAAACACATACAAGTGTTCACACTCAAAGATAAGTGACACTGGGAGGGCTAAAATAATTTTCACATGCAGTCAGATTAACTTTTTTGAAAAAATTCTGATGCTGAATTACAACCTGAGTGTCTGAAATAAAACCCCATGGTTTACTCACCAGAGGGAACTCATGGGAGACCCTCCCATCAGGGGGAAGCTTAGCACCAAATCCCAGCGCAGGGAACATCTTATCACTGTCGTAGTCCTGAATGATCTCTCCCACAGCCTTCAGGGCCATGGCATAGGCATTCATCTGGTACGGGTTCATGTAGTGCAGTGAAGTGGACTGGGACGGATTTCCTTCCAAGACAAGAGAAGTCAGAGTCAGTGATGCAAACCATCAGACTGAGACCAAACTGACAGCTGCAACCAGAGAAACATGAGAGAACCGAGACTAAATAAGATGTTCTGAATCAAAGGTGGGGCTCGATGTGGCTATGTGGGTTATTAGCCATACTGAATTTCAGTGTTTATATTTTCCATGTTTTTGATGTTACAGTGACATTTTGAACACTTCTTGATAGATACTGCTTTTCAAGATCCCCTTTCATGAATCACTAGACAGTCACAATATTACATGCAGCTCAGTGGAAGCAGAGATATTAAAATACCTTCAGAATGATCACGCTGAAAGGTATAAATGTGCATGGAAGTCACTGGTTGACTGTTTGCAGTGGTGGAAAAAGTATTCAGATAGTTTCCTTAAGTAAAAGTTGCAATACCACAGTGTAGAGATACTCTGTTACAAATAAATGTAGTGGGTTGGAAAATACAACATTTGCCTCTGTAATGTTGTGGATTAGAAGTATAAAGAAGCATAACATGGAACATGGAAGTACTTTAAAAGTGTACTTATATTTAGTGCTTGGTTAAATGTACTTAGTTCCATTTTACTTAACTGCAGCATGTATTATTTGTGTCATGCCCTTAAATACATGCTTTGTGTTTTTGTACTAGATGCAGTATTTCTTTTTTCCCATTCTAAATTCAGTTTATAATCATTTTTGCCCTTATCCCCCCTTACTTGACTTTTCAATACAAGAAAAAAGATACAAACAGGGAGAAAAGTCCAGCCCGCTCTTTGAATCATGGGATATGCACAAATGGAAGCAGAGCGGGGGGATTGTAAGCAAAGCACTCACCATTTGATGCAGTGAAATCAATGGCCACTGTGAAGTGAATCTGAGTCCTGAAACAGATGAATGGAGGAAAGGATGCTGTTAACAAAAGAGAGGCAAACTCAGCGCTGCAATTTAATGAGGCTCTCCCTGCTTTCACTATAGTCTCTGCGCTACCATCAGAGAAGAGGTGTGAGACAATGAAACCCTTAAGAGTGTTGATAAAACACCTTTATTGTCTGTGCAAGGATCAAATCAGGTGTATAATACTTCGTTTTATGAAACAGAGAGACCATACATTTTTATTATTATTATAACAGCATTCAAAGTACCATTTTCATCTTTAAATAACAGACATATTCCAAGATTTAATAGCACAGCGGCATAGTAAAAAACACAAACACACCCCGCAAAAACCTATAAAAATAAAAGTAATTTCTCAAATTGCTGCAGCTGGATAGTGTCTGATCAGAGTAAAATTTGAGGTCTTCCATTCACTGCATCAATCTGAAAAAGCAGCTTCACAAATTGTCCAAAGACTACTGTTTTCTTTATTCATGAGCCCATAATGATAGCCAAAACCTTGAAAAGAAACTAAACACGGCCTAACTAGTCTCAGTCGGATTTGCCCGTTCTCCCCGAGAGACAAACAAAGAGCGAAGGGAAGCAGAGTTTAGATCAAAGTGTGTGCTCTTTCATTGTGATTAACACTGATTGCCTTTCCTGACTTCACCTCCATTCAGAAATTCCCACAAGCACAGTACCGGAGATAATGGCGACTTCCTCCTGGGGAGACTCTGACCCCAGCTCATTAATCAGCATTGAGCTGGGCTGCTCAGCTGACAACAGGGAATTGTTAAAATGGCATGCCGCCTCAATTTCTCAAAAGCCTCTGCTGATTTCTACGGTTAGTTTTGAATGTTTAGCTAGAAAAGCAAGGTGGTGAGTTAGAGTTAAGGCAGAGTGCAGGTGAGTAGAAATGGAACTGTCAGTCAAACTGTCAATTAGGTCATCAGAGCATCACCTGGAAGTTCATCCTCAGATAGTAGCTGCTGAACTCTGCAGTAAGTGGGACATGACCCATTATGTTTTTTATCTGAATGTTTATAGGGACTATAAATAAATATTTATCACGCAAAAATACTAACAACATTTTCTGGTTCTAGCTTCTCAAATGTGGGAATTTGATGCTGTTCTTTTTGTGGTTTGGACTGAATGTTAAAATGTAAGTTATTTAACAAATATTATGGTCCTGCAGACATTTATAGGTACATTTTGTATTGGAAAATTTCAGTTATGTCTAGTGATTGTCTGGTGAAGTTATCAAAACTTGACATATATACTTTTCCACCGATTGTTCTAGGAAGTCATGATGGGCACCTCAAGTGTCATTGCAGGATTAATGTTCTCTTTATGTAGTGAGGGTAAAAAGTAAGAGTGTCGTTGTTGTGTTTGGGTGTTGGATAAAGGTGAAGCAGGTCTGACTTTCATGCAAAGACTGTGCTTCACGACCTATCCCTATATAAACATTTGTGTCTCATTCACACTGCATCCAACTGAGGTTTGTATCCTCACTGCTACACCACCACCAACACCAACACCACCCCACTATCACACTCTGTGCAGTAGTTTTCCATGAGGATGAACAGATTCAGATATCAGGGCATATCAGAATGTGGCTTACTGCAGGAAGAGTTACATCTCCCATCACACATTCGTCTGTGTTGAGTTGACTGGCTTGCAGTACTTGCTTTGTTTTTTTTGTTTTTTTTCGTTTGCGACACAGGGGATTTGTTTAAGAGTTGAGCTAACAATACTTTTGAGACAAAAAATCTATATGGATTGATGTTGCAGTATTGTCTGTTTTGTAGGTCTTCTTGCAAAGAGCCAATGGCTGGTCTGGGGTTATAGTTTTATCCCTGCAATCCTCTATGCAATCTATTGTCCTTGAGAGCAGATAATCTTTCATTTTTTTAGACCCTTCTTAGAGTGATGTATCGCTCTGTGGACAAATTAATGTACCATCACCATTTCCTAAAATTGATCAGGAGTTCATAAATCTGACACCAGCCTTTAAATGGCCTCTTACAACCTGATCTAGTACAAATTCTTCAGAACAGGCAGTCCAATAATTCCCCATGGGCTTTACTCGTCCTTTGTCCTCTCATCTCATCACTAGCTCATTTGGCACCTTCTCTCCTCGCAGTTTTGTTCTCAGCAACCAATAACAGTCCCTCCACCAGTTTATGTATCACCTTGAATTACTGCAATAGTTTAAAATAGGTACAAACATATCTGTGTCGTATTGACTTTCCCCTTCCAGTTAGACAAACACCATATGGCAGGAGTCTTTGTAATGTGAAATCCCTGCAGTCCTGGCAATCTGGGTTGGGTGGGATATTGTATGTGATGTGAAACAGTGTGACAGAGAACGCAGCCACAGCACACCTACAATCTCATCAGTATGTGCTGGATATTGGCAAACTCAGACTACATCAATGAGCAGATTGGCACAGTGCTTTACTTGATCAAATGCAGGCTGATTTACAAAAGGATACAGGTTTATTTTCCAAAAGTTGGGGGCCAGAATGAAGACAATATACAATATTTTTAACTACATTTTACTACAAAAAGCATTGTGCTTTACTGCCGTATCTTTGACTGATGTTCAACTCTAGCATCTAGATATTTTATATATTTACTGTGGGCCTTAATTAAAATACAGATTAAATTATTTTAATTTATTTGCAAAAGTAAAACAGTGTAGAGAAGTTGAAAGTACTTCTTTCAGTCCTGTGTAATGTCTGCAGGTGTTCCTTTTGAAGAGGCAATATGTAGTTTTCAGCGGCCACTAGCGGTGCGGTTTTAAGATTCCAACGGCGTGTGCTCGTACGCGTGCTTGAACCATAGGCGTGAACTCATGAGCGAGCTTGTTATCTCAATGATAACAAAAACGGTTAGTGAGCTGGACTGGAAATTATAAATGAGATTGTTTTCATACTTTAGTTAGACCGCAGTAAGTAACCTTACTGTTGTGAATGGGTCTTCCTCTGTGTTGTCCTGCACCATTTTGTTGCAGTATTATATATTAAGTGGATCACATAAGTTAGTAAAATGACAATAAATCTAAATTGAACATTACGAAGCAAACAACGGCAGATCCGTGCTAATGCAACGTTAGCTGGCTGCCCCTGCCTGACCTGATACCTTCACAATAAAAGCAGAATAGTGGCTTTTCCAAGCAACAGAGAAAACAGGGGTGTTGTTCATTTCTAAGTGAGGCTACAGCCCATTGACAAAAAGGCAGTAAAGATTTTATTTCATTGAAAAACTACATATAGCCCCTTTAAGGCTGGCTGACGACAACTCAGTTGAAAATATCTACTTTTTTAATTTAAAATATTCTGGACATGGGACTGAACAGTAAGAGAATATTGCTCAGAGATTTTAGTGAGAAAATCAAACTGTTAGGGGGGAATGAAAGTGGGATTTTAAACAGAAGTGAGGGGGACATGTCTCCCCATCCCCAGTGGAATTTAAGCCCTTGAATATTTAGTATGTGGAAGTAAAAGTGGCCTTAAAACTAAGTTTTAAAAAAAAAGGTCAGGGAGGTCTAGAGTGGCAAGACGCCGATTGCAGAAAACTGTCGTGACAGTTTCTAGTTGCAGCAATTCTCCAGACAAAAATGAACACAACTGTGTCATACATAAATTCAAAGTGAAGTGTTCTGCATCTGCTTCCCAACAGTGGCCCGATGTCAGAATGAAACACCAAAGCAGCACAAAAGCTAGAAGTCCAGCACACAGTAACTTAAATGAAATGGGGGGAGTAAAAAAACAGCATCAATTTCTCCAATTTCAGGACAACAGAACATTTTGGGATGAAACTATTAAACCTTAATAAGATGTCCACACAATAGAGGCTCCACAGAAGCCTTTACACGGCCGAACTCACAGCAGATTTAATTTAAAAAGAAACATTTCAACATGTGATGAAAAGAATATAAATCTTTCATTAGCCTTTCAGAATCAGAGCCATGTGTGGCTTTTAGACTTTAATTACCTCTATTTGACTATATCTCTGCCCAGATTGAACATTAATGAAAACCAATTCACTGTGAAACCAGTCAGGATGTGACAGTGTGTCTGGAGAAGAAATTGCTTTTTTACCCTCCGCTTCAAAATATCATCTAAAATGCAGCACGTTAGTTGTCACCTGTTAGAAAGGGCGCAGTAAAGCAAACACATATGAAAGGAAAGGAATCAATAACAGAATTGTAAAATATCAAATTTGATTCTTGGATCAGATTTATACAGCCTGATGCGGGCTTCTGCTCATATTTCTCATCATCTCTCTAAATGGCAGGGTTGGCAGGCATTCAGGTTCAGCTTCTTTTATTTGTTGTTGCTTTTTATTTGCATGCAGTTGACCGAAAAGTCACCTCTCTCACCCAGCGACAGCAGTACAGATGCCAATCAAAACAAAGCTAGTCATTGGACACTGACTGTGCTCTGTGCCAGAACCCACAAATTGCAAATTTTGGTCTTGCAGATTTGAATGCACAAAATTTAAATACGCAACTAGTGTTTAACCAGAAACATCTGTGAATGGACAGAAACTTTCCTACTGTGCTTTAATTTCCCACTGAAGTAACAGTTTCAAAGACGTCAGTGAGAGACTAGGACATATCAAATTGATTCATTACAGTAGAAAAATGTGTTATAATATACATATTAATGATTTGTTTGTATTTATGATGGTTTGCTCTGATGGCTAACATCTTATCGAATGCTATCAAGCCAATTAAAAACAGCATACATCTTATGTGTAGATGAAACATGCATTTAATCTCCGTTCTCAACACCCACTGCTTGTTTGATCGTCTCAGTGGGGTAAATCTTTTAGTTTCTAATGAGGTTTTGTGAGTATTTCTCATCCTCAGTTCAAGGGTTAAGGTTATGGTGGTCTGGTCTATTTTGATAATGTGGGTGTTGTGAAGCCCTTTGAGACAGTAAAAGTTATTAAGAGTTAGACAAATAAACCTATCTGACCTAAGTTGATGAATGTTCGG